AACATGCTTCCTGTCTCTCTGACACCCAAGCCACAACACTGAGATGTGGTTTTTCTAAAAACCCAGCTAAGCCCATGCCACCTGAACAAGCAGAGCCTTTCAGCTGCTCTTTTGAGACCACTGTGGCCAAATGCTGATTTTCGTAAAAGTCACCAGCCTTCTGAGAGAAGGCTTATGATGTCAACAGCAACAAATGCACATTTTGTTGGGAAATGCTGCACACTGGACACTGTGAGATCACCCTGGTGGGATGAACCTAGAAATTCTATTGGAAAACGGTGATGCAGAGCAAAGGGCACTGAGTTTGAAGAGCCCCTAGAACAACATTTATTGAGCACCTACTGTGCCTGATAGTCAGAACTCTGTGTCAGGGACCTCAGATAATGGCAGAGTCAGACAACGGAGTGAGCAGAGGGTGATAATACAGGTTGATAAATGGCTGGTTAATTTAGTTATTCACTCATCTGATGTATATTTGTTGAGCTCTCCTGATAAGCTAGGGACTAGACAGTTAGTGTCAAGACTTGTCCTCCTGAAGTTTATAGTCTAGCAGACATGAGTAAAATAGACAAAGTGCTAAGGGAGCATTTAGCAGGGCACATAACTTAATCTGGGGTGGAGGGATATGGGGTTTGGGATAACTTTATAAAGGACATGACTCCGGAACTGAGTCCTGGAGGGTGAGCAGAAAGGAGACCGTAAAGAAGAAAGGGAATCGTTTACGTGAAGGCCTGGAAGCATGAACGAGCCTAGTGCATTTGGTAGTGTGGTAGGACTAGAGCATGGAGTTTAAATTAAAGAGGGACAAGAGATTAGGCTGACAGAGGCTACATCTCAAAGGGCCTTAGGGACCAGGTTTAGGGGCTTGGAATTGACTGAATCAGTAGTAGCCATCGGAGTTACAGTGAGTTACAATCTTGAGTTACAGTGTTTATTAGTCGGAAAACGGGTTCAGCTAGTATAACAAAGACTCCACAATAACAATGGCTTAAACAAGATAGGCGTTTACTTCTCACTTGTGAAAGAACCCGGGTAGGCAAGCCAGAGTGGGCATAGTGGCTCCACAATCATCAGGAACCCTGGCTCCTTCTGGCATGTGGCTCTGACATCCTTAACATATTTCTTCCTTCTTGTGGTCCAGGAGCGTGGCTCCAGCTTCCATGATCACGTCTGCATGTGAGCCAGCAGGCAGGAGTAAAGGGGTCATGAAAAACACACCGCTCCCTTTAACCGCATAACCTGACACTCGCACTCATCACTTTAACATCGCACTGTCCAGAATTTAGTCACATGACCATCACTAGCAGCCAGGGTGCTGGACAGACAGATGCTAAAATTAGAAGCTTCATTACTAAAGGAAGGTTGGATGCTGGGGGACAGCTAGTCATCTTCAACAGGGAGTGACAATCCTGTTTGCACTATGGAAAGATCTCTCTTGAAAAGGGTCGGAGAATGGACTGGATAGTAAGAGATCAGAGCGAAGGAAATAATCCAAATGAGAGTTACTGAGGCCTGAGCCAAGCCAGAGACATTTGGGGTGGGGGAAGTGGACAAAGGCTTAAGAGATAATTGGAAATTGAATGAACAGGACATGATGATCAATGGACTGCACTTCTAATTTACTGTAGTTATCACAGTACGGTGCTTAGCACAGTGCTGGGCATACAGTAAGTGCTTGTGAATGAATGAATGTATGATATGAAAGAGGAGTGAATGAGTGAGTGAATGATTGAAGTGAAAGAGGAGGAGCCAAGGATGATGATGATAATAATAATAATAATAATAATAGTTCCTGGAACTAGTTTGATTGAGAAACATTAACATGTAAAGATAAGTATCAGTCTTTAAGAACACAACTTCTGCCCTGGCCAGCTTGCCTCAGTGGATAGAGCGTCGGCCTGCTGGTTGAAGGGTCCCAGGTTCAATTCTGGCCAAGGGCACATGCCTGGGTTGCGGGCTTGATCCCCAGTGGGGGGCGTGCAGGAGGCAGCCAATCAATGATTCTCTCTCATCATTGATGTTTCTATCTCTCTCTCCTTCTCCCTTCTTCTCTGAAATCAATAAAGAAATATATTTAAAAAAAGAAAAAAAGAACACAACTTCTACCAACTGTAATCTGCCATTCTCCCTTTCCTGATGGGCATCTGGCCCCCTTGATGACATCTCCACCTGTTTCCAAAACTTGGTCATTTTTGGTTATGAATGAAGTCTCTTGTTTTGGGCATTCACTTGGTCTCTGCATTTTCAAAGGCCAATTGCTATTGGATTCAAAGTCCCAGCAGACGGACTTGTGGCCTGCGAGGAGATGGGCGTGGCTTGCTCCCCTGCCCTCTGGTGGGGAGGAATGAAAAGGAAGAAAAGGACTTGTTTCCTTAGGTAGCCCCTGCTGGCCCCTGGCTGGCTCCTTCTTTACTGCTTGTAATGTGGCTGTGTTCCTGTCCTCTCAGTCATCACAGCTGTTCAGCCCATTATAGACATGGTATGTGTGTGTGCGGGGCGTGGGGACCCCACAGGCCATGCTGGTGCCAAACAGCCCTCCTCAGCTGGTGGTCACAGGCTCACCCTTCACGGCTCATCTCTGTGCCCCTAGCAGGCTTGCTGCCCTCATCACTTTTACCCTCTGTAGCCCCAGTCCCAGGGCCTGTGGACATGGGCTGACTCTGTCTTCCTCTTCTTGCTCACTCACCACCTGGCCACATCCTTCCTTGGCCTGCTCTCTGCAGTGCCCTTTCCCTTATCTCAGTAGCCCCAGGGCAGTGGGCAGGTGCAGTGGCTCAGGTGACACCCACCAGGAATGAGAGGTCAGGCTCCCTCTGGTGGCAAGCTGGATGAATTATTCCCTTGCCTCTGTTCCAGTTACCTACTGTTGTGAAACAGATCACCACAAATTTCACAGCCTAAAGCAGGGGTCCTCAAACTTTTTAAACAGGGGGCCAGTTCACTGTCCCTCAGACCGTTGGAAGGCCGGACTATAGTTAAAAAAAAAAAACTATGAACAAATTCCTATGCACACTGCACATATCTTATTTTGAAGTAAAAAAACAAAACGGGAAAAAATACAATATTTGTATTTGCATGTGGCCCGCGGGCCGTAGTTTGAGGACCCCTGGCCTAAAGCAATCATCGTTTTCTCCTGCTCATGGATGCTGTGGGTCAGGAACGGACAGGGCACGGTGGGTGGCGGTGGGTGGCGGTGGCTGGGCTCTGCTGCGGTAGGCAGCCTCCAAGATAGTTTTCAATGACGCAAGCCTCCCAGTATTCATGCCCGTGTGTGGTCCCCTCCCGCTTTGTCTCAGGGCTGGTCTGGGTGGCCAGTAAAATGGGGCAGAAGCAATAGTATGTCCCTCCACTTTTGAGTCTAGGTCATGACTCTCTGTCCTTTAGATCACCCACTCTGGGGGAAGCCAGCTGCCATGTCTTGAGGACACTCATGTATGGAGAGGCCCGTCTGGAAAGGAACCCAGGCCTACTTCCATCAGCCGTGTGAATGAGCTTGGAATTGGGTCCTCCAGCCCCAGAGCAAGTCTTAGATGACTGTGGCCCTGGCCGACAGCTGGACTGCAATTTCACGAAAGACTGACCCTGTGTCAGAACCACCCAGATAAGCTGCTCTCAGATTCCTGACTCTCAGAAACGGTAGGAGGTGATAAATGTTTGTTGTTTTCAGCAGCGATATCTTGGAGTAGTTTGTTATGCAGGATAGATAACTAATGCATTCCATGACGTCTGGGCCCTTAGCTGGAAAGGCGAGAATGGCTGGGGCTAAAATCGCCTGGGAGGCTGCTTCACTCACGTGGCTGGTACCTGAGCCAGAAGGACTTGAAGGCTTAGCGGGCACGGTCACCTGGAGCATCTGCACGTGGCCGGTCCGTGTGACTTGGCTTCTCACAGCACAGCAGCCGGGCTCTGAGAGGGCGTGTCTCAGGAGAAAGTGCGCTTTCCAGGAGGCCAAGGAAGAAGCTGCAAGGTTCCTTTTGGCCTCACCCCAGAAGTCACGGGGAGTCATGGGGAGTAACCTCTGCTGCATTCTGTTGTTACAGGTGAGTCACCAAGGCCAGCCCAGATTCAAGGGGAGGGGATCTGACTGGTCCTCTTGATGGAGGGGTGATAGGGTCCCGTTGCACAGGAGCAAGTGGGAGGGTGGCCATCTTTGCAAAATACAATTAGATGTATCTGCCTGGCCCTGGGAGAGGAACAATCCATTGCCCCCTGCGCTGCCCCTCAGGGAGAGAGGGTTGGGTGGCTTCTTTCCTTACCTCCAGCCCTGTGAGTAGTGCTGGTCCTGCTGCAATGGCAGGTCCTAATCAAGCCCTGAGGGAGCCAGGCGTCCGCTGCGCTTGGATGGTGGAGCACTTCATGCTTTTTGCTCTGGGCTCCAGATTCTGGTGCTAATTCTACTTTTCTGGGTTAACAATTTTTAGAAAAGGTCCAACTGACACCTTGTCCCACCGCGGCACATCGCCCTTTCTCTGCCAGCCACTGTGCGGAGCACTTGACCTCAGTCAGTCCTGCACTCACCCTAGCAGCTAAGAATTATGCTCCCATTTACGGAGGAGGAAGTCACTGACCGAGGTCACTCAGCCAGAGGTGGCAGAACAGGGATTCGGCCCCTGAGCCCTAAGTCTACCCTCTAGGGGCCCTGGGATTCCAGAAAACCTACTGGGTGTTGGAGCCCTAGCCCTGGTCTCCTCTGGGCTTGCCAAGGGTGAGGCCAGTGTAAGTGTGAGGAGGAGCTGGAGAGAGATACTCACAGGGGGTGGGGCTTCAAACCCCTGCCTGAGGGGAGGGGCTAGTTGTTGGGTGTTTGGGTGAAAGGGGAGGAGGAAGGAGAGGGAGAATCTGTTTTTTACTTTCTTTTCAGACCTGTCCCCAGTCAATGAGCTTTTCAGTGGCCAGAGGGTGACCTCCAGAGTAACAGTCCTGCACTCATTGGTTCTCAGTGTTTGTCAGAATGAAACCCCTTCTTTGTCCAGGAACCTCTGATTGGAGGCCCTCAGAGCTCATCCCAGGTCTGTGGATGCTGGGTCTTGGAGTGATTTCCGGCCCCAGTGAACAGGTCCTGCTGATGTCCGATGTCGGGCCTGCCTGCTCCGTGTTCCTGCCCACCGCTACCTTCCAGATGGGCCAGCTCCCAGCACCTGCTGCCTGCCAGGCACTGTGCTCATGTTGGGGACCCAGAAATAAATGAGAGACAGCCGCTGTCCAGTGGAAGGAGAAACGTCAGGCGTTAACCGCCACCCAGGAGAGGGCTCCTGAGTCAAGGGCACATCGAATGAGGGTCAGAATCACACAGAGAGGGGAGGGCCTAACTCAGCAACAAAAAAGAACGAACCATTGATACCGGCAACATCATGGATGAATCTCAAAATCATCATGCAGAGCAAAGAAGCCAGACACAAAAGAGTACAGACTGTGTGATTCCATTCTTATGGCGTTCTAGACCAGGCAAAACTGTGGGTTATATCCAGATAGAAATAAGACCAGTGGTTGCTTGGGATGAGAGGGGCTGGCCTGGGGACGTGAGGTGCTGGATGTTCTGAGGGACGTTCTGAGGATGAGGAATATTCTGAGGTGGGAAAGATGTTCTAAACCTGAGTAGGAGTGTGGGTTACACAAGAACATTTGATAGCTAAAACTGACCACACTGTACACCCAGGATCTGCGAATGTCATCATATGCAAATTATATCTGTGATGGGCAGCACTCCAAATAGTCCTCAGCAAGCCCTGGTGTGCTTCCCCTTGTGCAATCACACACACACACACACACACACACACGCACACACACACACACACCCCGTGTCAGGTTGGTCTGTGTGGCCGATAGGGTGTGCAGAAGGGATAGTATGTCACTGCTGAGAACAGGATACTGGTCTCTTTCTCTCAGATAGCTTGTTCTGGAAGAGGCCATGCGTTGAGCATCGCTATGGAGAAATATGCTCGGCAAGGAACCGAAGCCTCCTGCCAACAGCTATGTGCATGAACTCACAGTAAGTGTATCCTCAGTCCCCGTGAATGCCTGCCTTCCGAGGTCTGCAGCCTTGGCTGATTGCTGGACCACAAACTCATTCGGGACTTTGAGCCAGGCCACCCAGCTAGCCGTTTCCTGATTCCTGATCCTCAGACTCTGAGTGAGAGAATACGTTTGTTGTTTTAAGCCATTAACTTTTCGGAATTATTTCTTTGGCAGCTCTAAGTGATGAATAGAATGTTTCAATAAACTAAACAGGTGGGGGAAGCATCTTCTAAGTGCTCCTGGCCCAGATGGCTTTCCCAGGGACCTTCAAGTGCTTTCTGTGACTCAGACTTCTGGGCTCAGTCTTCAAAATGGGGAGACGAGGGGCCTGGAGCTCTGTCTAAAGGTCAGGGGCTGGTGTCTCCTACATATCCACAGCCCCGCAACAGTTACACACAGTGGCCAGGCCCACACCCGCTGTGCAGAGAGGGCTCCAGAAATGCCCCTGTCCCCCCGTCTTTTCCCCACCATGTGTACATGCAGGCACCCACTCAGGGCTCAGAAGCTAATAACAGCTACTATTTGGGGAACACTTTCTATGTGTCAGGGGACATGCAAAGTGCTCTGTATGCATATTTTAATTAATTCTCCCCAACACCCTCTGAAGAAGATATTACTAAACCTGTTTTACAGGACAGAAAACTGAGACCCAGAACACGGAGGCAACTGCCAGGATCATAGAGCCACCAGGGTGTGGCAGCTTTCGATTCAAATCCAGATCTAATTCCCAAAGGAAGAGGCAGGCAAGCAGCACACCCAAGCCGGAGAATACTTCTCTCATCTCTTCCCTTTGAGAACAAGCCACACCTTCTGCCATCAGGGAACAGGCCACAGTCTCCACCCAGACTCCCCGGGGTGAGGATAGAAAGAGACTGGAGGGTGATATCCACGCCACCAAGAGTGTCAGAGGTCGTGGGAACTGAGGCCCAGAGAGGGAAGTGACTTTTCCAAAGACTCCCATCTAGTGCTCAGTGGCTCCACACCACCCTGCCTCTCAAGGACAGCTTTGGGGTAGGGGATGGAGAGAAAAAGGGAAGTCAAAGGTAAGGACGACAAAATTGAGATCTCATCATTTGGGTCAACCTCACAATGGGTAGGATCTACATAAACCAGTGTCACAGATGGTTCCAGTGAGAGCCTCTGCAACTTCAGGGGCCTCACAGAAAAGCTCTGAGAGCAGTGCCTGGCCTGTGGCAGGGCCTGATGAAAAGCCCTGCACCATTCATTTGCTGTGACCTTGGGTTGCCTCATTCATTCATTGAATAAGTATTTACTGACCATCTGCTATGTGCTGTTTTAGGAGCTTGGGATATTTCAGCGAACACAAGATCCTTGTCCTTATGAAGCTTAAAATACAGAGGTTTCCTATATCAGTTCTAAGGTATCCTACAAGTGAAAGGTGCTGTAAGACAGGAAAAAGTAAAGGAGGGTAAGAGGACCAAGAGTGAGGACAGTGTGTATGGAGCAGGTGTGCTGAAATTGTAAAGGGTTTTAGCTATCTCAGGTAGGCCTCTCTGAGAATGCCTCCTTTGAACAAAGACTTGGAGGAGGTGAGGGGTGCCTTATGCAGAGTGAACCATATGGAAATCTGGAGGGAAGACATTCCAGATAAATTACACATTGATTATATATTAGGAGTGAAAGGGAATTATGTCTGCAACTTACTCTAACAGGTCAGAAAAAATAAATTATATAGATATAGAGCGACAGTATGTATGTGTATATAGACATGTAAATATCCATGTGCGAGGTGTACCGGTTACTAACGCGGATCTTTTTCAATAGCTGGAGTTACACATCTGTTGATATATCTGCGATTTGATACCACTTGTCCCGATTGATGGCACAAGCACTTTCTGAGCAGCACTTCCAAATGTATGAAGAAGTGGAAAATTGGGCCTCTGAATGGTTTGCCTCAAAACAAGAAAAGTTCTATTGGGACGCTGCCGGAAGCCGGTCCATCCTTGCTGCTTGACACAGTCGCTGCAGGAAAGAAACATCTGCACAGCATATGTTTCAAGGGACCTGGCGTATATAGCATACTGTTCTTAATATGTTTGCTCCCCTTAGCGCTGTGTGTTTTAACCAAGGTCACCTCTCCAAGAAAGGTTGTTTCCCCAGGTAGGAATTTTTCCCTGAAGTCAGGGAGGGGATGAAACTCCTTAACTAAGTGCCAGGCGGGTAGTTAATCACTACAAACAATCATGCTTAAGCTACATAATCTTTACTCCCTGGAATGGAGATAAGAAACGCCCTAACCTTTGTAATAGAAATTGACAGGATTAAAATCAACTGGTATAAATACGGATGTAACAAGACAATAAACAGCAGAACTTTGCTGGAGATCCAGACCAGAACTTGGCTGGAGATCCTGGCTGGAGATCCTGGCTAGGCTGCTGATCAACTGAACGCTGTCTCCGTGTCATTCCTTCTTCGCCGACTCCGTCTATGCCTTTGGGAACCCCTGGACCTGCTGGGGTTGGACCCCGGCATCTGGCGCCCGAACAGGGTTCCCTTAGGTAAGTCCCCCCGTACTTGGGACCGATAGGACTGCACCGTAGGGTGCTGCAGACCCCCCCCCACCCCATAGAGAATAAGTAGGGTAAGCGGGTAGTTAGTACAGAACTTAGATTGACAAGGTGGGTCATACTGAGTCTAAAGAAAAAAGACTCTGTATTAATCTTTTAACGCATATGCTTACTAGCAGAATTGGAGTTGAGGTTTTTCCCAGTGAGACAGAAAGTTTTATAGAAGAAGTATGTCAATGGCTTCCAGAGGATGGAACTGTTAATTTAAAAACTTGGGTTGAAGTAGGAAAGCAATTAAAGAAACACCATGAATCTGACAAGGTCCTGCCATGTTTCTTTTCCCTCTGGGATTCAATCTGTGACACCTTGGCACCAGAGGCAAAAACGGTTGAACTTTCTCAAAATTTAAATAGTCCCTCAGCTCCACCCAGAGAGGACACATCATCATTGTCTTCAGCTCAATCTAAAAGCAATTTAGCTATGCCTACTGATCGGGAGGAGAATAAATATCATAAACATGACCATTGTTCCTTTCCAGTCAATAGAGAGGAGAATGGCCCTCCCATTCAAAACAGGCTCCCCAAATTAGAAAGGAAGCCTAAACCAGGTCCTGTGGCTCCTATGAGCTCCATGTCTAAATTTCAAAGGGCAATAAGAGAAGCTGAAGCTAATGGAGATCTTGAATTCTCACTCTGCTTCCCAGTTACATATGAGAATGAGTCTGGTGGGAATAGAAACCCCACCTTGGAGCCTATACCTTACAAAGTACTTAAAGAATTAAAATTGGCCTGCTCTGAATATGGACCTCTAGCTCCTTACACACAAACCTTGGTAGAAACCCTAGCCAGTAAATGGATGACTCCTTATGATTGGTCACAGGTTTGTAAATCCTGTCTCTCAGGAGGCGATTACTTATTATGGAAAACTGAATATGAAGATCTTGCTAAGAAAGCTGTAGCCACTAGCGAAAAAACCAGAAAAAGAATAACCCTAGACATGATATTAGGAGAAGGTGATTTTAACACGGCTGAGGAGCAAATGAATATGCCCACAGAGGCACTTACCAAAGTAACCAGTTGTGCAGTAAGTGCCTGGAAATCCCTACCTTATACAGCAGGAAAAACCACCACCCTTACAGAGGTTAAACAGAAGGTCGAGGAACCATATCAGGATTTCCTTTCTCGCCTCATGCAGGCAGTCAAGAGAGTAATCAATAACAAAGAGGCAGCCGATATCCTAATCAAACAACTGGCTTTTGAAAATGCTAATAATACCTGTCAGGCTTTATTAAGGCCGATTCGCAGAACAGGAACTATAAATGATTTTATAAAACAGTGTGCTGATGTAAGTCCAGCATTTATACAGGGTGTAGCTATAGCTGCAGCTCTCAAAGGGGAGACATACCCTCAATATGTACAGGCTATAGGACAAGCCAGCAATACTACAGGTAATAAAAGAAATATGAACTGCTACTCTTGTGGCTTATCTGGGCACTTTAGCAGAGAATGCCCAAATAAAAACAATAATACTCAGGCCAGATGGCAAGCTCCTCGACAGCCTGGAAATACATTAGGGAATAATATTAATCCTCCAAAAACCGTTTGTCCCCGATGTCAGAAAGGATTCCATTGGGCAAAGGAATGTAGATCAAAATACCATAAAAATGGTCGGCCTTTAAACTCTACAAATAGCTCCCAAGGAGGTTATATCCCATCACCTCAATCGGGAAACTTGAGAAGGGGCCAGCCCCAGGCCCCTGCAATAATAGGGGCATCAACCTTCAACCCCTTTGCAAATTTCGATCAGTCAGTGACCTCTTCAGGGCAACCCCAGGCAGTGCAGGATTGGACCTCCACTCAACCACCCATGCAGTACTAACCCCAGACTCGCCAGTAGCAGCCATTCCTACAGGAGTGTCTGGGCCGCTGCCTGAGGGAACCGTAGGTTTAATATTAGGACGGAGCTCCACCTCGTTACAGGGGATCTTAGTCATCCCAGGAGTTGTTGATGCAGACTACACAGGAGAAATACAGATTTTACTTTCCCCACCCACCACAACTATACAGATTCAGCCCAACCAGAGAATTGCCCAATTAATCCTGTTACCAATACATAAAATAGGGACAGCTGTTACCCAGGAAGCTAGAGGGGCCGGAGGCTTTGGATCTAGTGATGCAGCATTTTGGATACAAGAAATCCATGCTACTAGACCTACAAAAATTTTACAAATTCAGGGAAAACCAATTGAAGGTCTATTGGATACAGGAGCAGATGTTTCCTGCATAGCAGAGAAGGATTGGCCCTCTTCATGGCCCACGCACACCACCTCCACTTCCCTAGTAGGACTAGGCAAGGCATCTAATGTAAAAAAGAGTTCTCAGATTCTAACTTGGACTGATGAAGATCAACATTCAGGAACATTCTGTCCCTATGTAATTACGACTATCCCCTTTACATTATGGGGAAGAGATATCTTGTCTCAAATGGGAGTTGTATTATATAGCCCCAGTGATAGAGTAACATCACAGATGCTAGACATGAGATTTAATCCAGGAAAGGGATTAGGAAAGGAAAGTAATACCTCACACTCCTCGACAGGATCTGTAATTGGGGCCATTGCCCTTAGGACTGCTGATCCCATAGTCTGGAAATCGTCACAACCAGTATGGGTTGAGCAATGGCCCTTAACATCTGAGAAAATATCAGCAGCCCGACAATTAATTGATCAGCAATTAGCAGAGGGACATATAGAGCCATCAAATAGTCCCTGGAACACACCCATATTTGTAATAAGAAAGAAATCAGGCAAGTGGAGACTTTTGCAAGATCTAAGAGCAATAAATGCCACCATGGAAGATATGGGCTCCTTACAACCTGGATTGCCCTCCCCTGTGGCAATTCCACAGGAGTATTGTGTTGTTGTTATTGACTTACAGGATTGTTTTTTCACTATACCTCTTCACCCAGCTGATTGTCAAAGATTCGCATTCAGCATACCATCAGAAAACTTTAAACAGCCTTATCAGAGATACCAATGGAAGGTTCTCCCACAAGGGATGAAAAATAGTCCTACATTATGTCAAAAGTTTGTAGATCAGGCATTGCAAGTTATTAGAAAGAAATTTTCAGATCTATATCTTATTCATTATATGGATGATATTTTACTAGCTCATAAAGATCGGGCTACTTTACAGGAAATTCTTACTCAGACCATCCTTGCTTTAGAAGAACATGGTCTAAAAATAGCCCCAGAAAAGATTCAGACTGAACCTTCTTTTTCATACTTAGGCAGAATATTACATACCTCTACTATCACCCATCAGCCTCTACAATTAAGAAAAGATCATTTAAACACATTGAATGATTATCAGAAACTATTAGGTGATATCAACTGGGTCAGGCCATATCTAAAAATAACCACTCTTGACTTAAAACCTCTATTTGACATTTTAAAGGGAGATTCTAACCCTAAGTCTCCCCGACAATTAACTGTAGAAGGAGAAAAGGCTATAGCAAAAATAGAACAGGCCATCAATAAACAGCAACTACAGTATCTAGATTATTCCAAATCTTGGGCCTTAATTATTCTAGCCACTAAATATACTCCTACAGGATGCTTGTGGCAGGAAGGACCATTAGAATGGATACATTTACCTGTCACTCCTAGGAAGATTGTACCACCCTATCCCTCCCTAGTGGCCACTCTCATTATCAAAGGTAGACGACGCAGTATCGAACTCTTTGGAAGAGAAGTTACTGAGATAATAATACCTTATAAAAGAGAACAATTAGACACACTATTACAATTTGAAGAAGAGTGGCAAATAGCTATAGGTAACTTCCCAGGACAAATTTTACATCATTTGCCAAGATCACCTATATTGCAATTTCTCTCCCTACATCCGTTTATATTTCCTATCAAATGTTCAAAAGAACCATTATCACCTCCTGCCTCCTTAGTATTCACAGATGGTTCCTCTAATGGTAGGGCAGTAACAATCATTGACTCAATAACCCATGTTCAACAAACTCTAGAGACGTCAGCTCAGAGAACAGAGCTTTTGGCAGTCATTTATGCTTTTGAACAATTGCAACAGGTTCCCTTTAACTTGTACACTGACTCTCAATATATAGTTAAATTATTTCCTCATATTGAGACCGCCTCTCTCCCACAAGGAAGAACAGCCATTTTCTCTTTGTTAACTCAGCTACAAACTTGCATTCACAAACGAGAAAAGGCTTTCTATATTGGACATATTAGAGCTCATTCCTGCCTACCAGGACCCTTAAGTGAAGGAAATTATCAGGCGGATTTACTAACTCGCCCAGTAGTTTGTACAGCTCTAGAAGAAGCCCGGCGATCTCATGCCATTCACCATCAAAATGCTTCTGCTCTCCGTCTATAT